TTTTGAACCGATATTTCTTGAGAGCAATTGTCGTGCAATTGTCTAAATAACTAGAGATTTGGTAAAAAAGAGATAAAAAATAGTGCACATATAGTCAAGTGTTCCCATCAATGTTAAAACACGGACATAGAGAGAGAGAGAGAGAGAGAGAGAGAGAGAGAGAGAGAGTTTGTATACCTTAATACTGGTCGTGATATTTATTGAAAAGACAGCACTTTTTTCTCCTTAACTTTTACTTTATTATAAGATTTTTTCGGTAGTATTTTCTGTCGACTAAAGAGAATATTCTCTATTTATTTAACAACAAATGCAATGTTTAGTACATATATTATTACAGAATTGAGTATATATTTTAGTGTATAATGCAATCATTATTTGCCTAAATAAGAGACAACAGAATATAAAAAGTTTTCAATTATTTTTTGACTTGATTTCAGCAGAATTTGTTAAAAATGATGAAGAATTTTGTCTAACAATTGTCTCAATAATAGAGAAATTTATGTTTTGACAACAATTTATTTCCTAAAGACTTATTGCTTTCACTATATTTTAAAAATCAATTTATGGATGAAAATATTGAATAGAAAAATGTTTTCTTATTTTCTATACGATATTAACTTTATTGTGCAAAATAATTGACGACAAAAAACAACATTAATTTTTTTATGTACAAAATAATAATATAAACGCTGAATGCTTTGCCGAAGATTTCAATTTATATATAAATTTATTATTAAAGTCAATATAAATATTATTTTATAATTATTTGCACAAAAATCAATAAATAATCGCTTTTCTGACGGATTATTTCAGAGTCTATTGAAATACCAAACGTATATAAAATTAATAACTATATAAAAACCAACTGTCAAGTAATCAAAACGCATCTAGATTGTTTTGACGAGTGCATTGGGTGTTTAGATAAACGAATAACATATAAACACAACAAGAATATTCTGTACATTATTCAAGACAACACCGCAAACACATCACATAATATACAGTACATACATATGTGTGTTATTATGTAATGTTTACACGTATTGAGAGATAAAGTGCTTCTTAAGTGCTATAATATTTGTCTTATGATATACTTTGTACTAATAATACCCAACACTACGGACCCCATCCGTCACCCACACTCTCATCCATACACTTAGGGATCTCTCGGAGACGAGTATAACAAAACTGCCGACACTCGGCATGGAGTCAATCGAGACACTGACACTGCAGAACGTGTTCACGTTGAAAGAGATCCCATCGGTGATGAATTTCAAGAAGATCCAGACGGCGTACCTCACCTATCCCTACCACTGCTGCGCCTTTAAGTTCCCGCAGACACACAAACCCAAGGAGTTTGAAAGACATCAGATCATGGAAAGGTATTGCCCTTTGTTTAGACATTGTAGTCATCATTATTAGATATCTATTAGATATCATGCGGTGTTTTAACACATATATCACATATCCTCCCACTCTTCTCCCATTTAATTGACTCCTTTCTAGTGATGTAAACAATTATTTGTTGCCATTTTTAATTACAATCAATTTAATCGCTTGCAATTGCAATTCATTGATATATTAGATCTAAATATAACTCCCATTCAAGTGTCGTGTATTATGTATACAGAAATAGCATCTTAATTGATATCTATATATAAATATATTATATAAATATTTAATTGCGAGTTTATTTTTGTTGTTAAGACTTTTGTACAATTTATTAATAGGGTTAACGGTTGGGAATAATACTATAAATTAAATGTATATATATTACAGGTATTGTGGACCGGAAACACAGGGAATGGTGCCATCGGTGATAGTTGATAGTCTCAAACCTTCAGCAGCACATCAGGTATTGTATAGGCATTTGTCATGTCTTCAAATCCCCAATTATTCTTCAATTTGATTGATAATCATTCATGTCTCACATTCTCTCTCTCTCCCTCTCTCTCTCTCTCTCTCTCTCTCAATGATTGCGGACACGACATGCATGTGCAGCCCCTATACGTATCCCTCTATCGTGTGACCCAAGAGTCGGCCACACATTACGCCCGCAAACTGTTCGCACTGTTTGACGACAACGACTACACGACATCTTCGGAGACGAGTCACGACACGTCTTATAATTACATTACGCGCCGACACATGGGCTCCGAGTCGTCGTTCGGTCACGTGAGAAGCGCCGGCACCCGTAGCCCACCCCTCGACACGTCCACCTTTTACGGCCAAATCATATACGAAAGCAATTATACGTATGACTACAACGGTCTGGCACTACAACAGGACGGCCCCACCGGCGCCACTACCGGACCGATGATGTCGTCCACTCATAAACCGTCCGAAATGAAGGATCCGATGGATCCGTGGGGTTCGTCGCTATTGCCTAGCATTAAGTCTGATAACAAACCCGTCAACACTGAAAACGGCATATTTAAACCAGCCGTCAATGTCTCCACACGAATACCGGTGATTTATTTTAATATTAATTATTATTACATACATCTATTACATAACCATAATATTGCCCACTTTGTAATATATTGAGAAACATTAAGGATATTATAAAATTTTCATGTTTTGTTGTATTTTTATCCCAATTCTAAATATAGATATATTTTCATTCATTTCATTAATGTTTTTGGTATATATTATGAATGAAAATGTTATACATTTTCTGTGTGTTTTGTAATTGGATTTGAATTTCTTTTCCTCCGTCTGTCTGAGAGGTGGAGAAGAAAGAAATCAATTTCTTGTTTGCCATTCAAATGAGATTTTCTGTTATATATTTTTCTATCCAATTCTTCTCTCTTTTTAAACACAAAATGAATGATTAATTGGTTTTTTGTGTTTTTTATATAGCATTTAAATAACACACATCTTATTTTTGTTTAAATAAATTAAATTAAGGCAACATGAAATATTTTTTCAAACGCCAATCTTAATGATAACATATTCTGTGAATTTTATATTCATTCAGAATAAGTAGGCGTTTGATTGCATCCATTTATTTCCTATTGATTTACGGAATATTCTGTATAATAATTGCCTTATATTTTGATTGATATTTTTATTATTCCTATTATAAATATTAAATGTATAAAAATGAAATTCTCATTAATTCAGGCAAACAATTTGATTAATACAATTGAAAACACCTGTGGGTGTAAAACATTAGACAATAACCGTTGTCCGTGTTTTAACATTGATGGGAACACTTGACTATATGTGCACTATTTTTTATCTCTTTTTTACCAAATCTCTAGTTATTTAGACAATTGCACGACAATTGCTCTCAAGAAATATCGGTTCAAAATACAGAAAGACAGAGAAAGTAAGAAAGAGAGACAGAAAGAGTAAAAGTAAACAATAAAAAACTTATTATATGTGTCTTTCAATGATTTAATCAATTTTAAGACATTTGAGATCACAATAGAAGAGCAGAAATGAAAACTAAACCCTAAAACACAAGTCCTATCATTGATTACTATAGCATAACAAAACAAATACAGTTAAAAAATAAAAATATTTATCGGGAAAACGAGATTTCATGATTGAAATGTTGTTTTATTTTTCACATTGTGTTTTGCCCTCAAAAATAATTATCAATATTTTCTCAGTTGGTGTTTGCGTTGAAGTGTTTGCCTTTCACTCAAAATGTTTTTCCCAATTCAACAGATTATGTCAAACGATAACACTTTTGGTCGAGAAAATGTTTTTGTATTTTATAAGGTATACTGAAAACAATACCAAACACATCGACCATTTGGATAGTAAAGTCCAGTAATCAAAGCAAATAAAATTAAATACAGATCTCTTCAGTATTTATCCCCAAAGTGTCTAAATCTCATACTCTGAGAAAAATACACTTTAATTCCGTGTATATGTTGTGTGTATTTTGTGTCAGAATATTCTTACTTACAATTCTCGCAATTCTTTGAGTCCAACGAAAGCTCTCTCTTGTAAATGAACCAAATGTTTATTCCCCTTAAGACTCCTAATTATGTGCATAAAAGTAATTTTATAAAATTACATATAATTTATGAAAATTGTTAATAAATTTAATTCAATTAAATATATTTGAAATTAAAATCATTGAAACAATTTCTGAACAATTATATTAAGAATATGAATATTCTGTAATTCATGACTTGAATTCATATTAACGTACAATTTGGCGATTTGTGAGCCGTTAAACGCCTCGTTGTAAACGCATTCAATCGCATTGTAGTCCATATTCCTGGAAATATATAAACTATTACAACAACTATACACTAAATTCACTTTAAATTGCATACAATAACAACAAAAATGCTTAGAAATTGATATTTAAAGTTACATAACACACACACACATATCGCATGACTTTATTTTCAAAACATTATCTAATAGTAACAACAATAATATCTCTTAAAATAATACTTTAATTTAAATGTATTTATGATAACTGTGTGTAAATTGAAATGTTGTAATGAAATGTGTGGCAAATAGTGGTGACGATAGAAATCAAACACAAATACAATATATGTTTTAAATCACAGAATTGTCTATAAATAAAACTTTTCTGACTTTAGAGTGAGGGATGATTTTGAAGTGATTTTTGTCAATCGGAGAGCACTTATAAAATTGCAAATAAATGCCAAAAAGCTTGTGCCCGCCGGGCTCTCAATCGGCAAACAAAACAATCAAATAATATTTTGTAAATACACTGTTTAGGAGACAAATATAGACTTTATATAACGGTATATAAAGTTTTGAGGACCAAATCGATTGGAAATATACAGGAAATTACATAATAATAAATTGATTTCTCACTGGTTTAACACCAATCCAACCACTGGTCCCCACTTTAGACGCCTATTTAGTGTATAAACAATGTCTTTAAACACTGTTTTCAATTATATGTTGTATGTCTGGTGTGGAGAGCAATCATAACCATTTCATAACACCCTATCATTCACTACAAATAATAGACCATTAATACCCGGGAGGAGATCGTTATCTATTGATATTAAGTTAGCTGTGATTTATATTACAAACACTATGGTATGATTGTTTATTTAAATTCTGCTTGATTATTGTTAAATAAATAACTTAAGTTACTTAAGATCTAATACTAATATAAGTGATTACAATTATAGTTTCATTGACAGACTAAATATATATTTAATTACTAATTAAATTAAAATATACAGTAAAATATACCCAATTTAGTCATTAAGGTAAATACAAATGAGTTATTTAAAATACAGTGTAACTACTGTATATAGACATCTGTATAGTTACAATAATCTATAATTGACATTATTTAATAAATATAATTTTGTTGTAAAATGTTTCATGTAGGATATTAATAATAATTCTAATATATTATCATAAAAATATTGAAAATGTTATGAATTTACATGTATTGATCAAATTCTCATAAAACATAAAGATTTCTGAGAAATAGTGGGATAAATGGAAATGAAAATAAAATAACAAAAAATTAATTTCCAAACAGATTAATAAAGAAAATCATTATTAAATATGACATTCAAAGCAAATGCGAGGGTTTATGTCATGTTTTAGATATTTTTAATAAAATGTATGCGGATTTCATTGTATAGTCTCTATAAGAAATCGTCAAGAATTCAATTAATAGTTTTGAGAAATGTATGGATTCTTTATAAGGGAATAGAAAGTGAGATATAAATAAGATCTGACGAAATCATTGGGTATTGGGGTTTGGGATATCTGATAGAGACAGGCGTGAGAATCGGTAAGAGAGAGAGAGAGAGAGAGAGAGAGAGAAAAGTATTGTGTAATTGGATCGTAAGGGCAGTTGGAGAGGGAGTGAGGGATATATAGTGTACAAAGGTTGGCAAGAATATAGCCAACAATAATGCACGGCGAGAGCCAGAGGAAAGAGAGAGAGAGAGAGAGAGAGAGAGAGAGAGAGCGATCAATGAAATCGAAAGGCTATGTTGTGTTGACAAAAGAATTTTGCACAGAATATTCTTACATATGAATAAAGCATCGATTGGTTGTATATATAAAAGTCAATACTCACACCAAAGATGCCCTCACTTTAATGGAGTTTGGAATCAGATTACGGATCCGATTGTTATCCAAATCGCTATTGAATTTAATTCAAGAAAATATAGGAAATAATTAATTTAATTTTCAATGCTTTCACGCATTATCTCATCGCGAGTGCCGTAAATGACTGAATTCACAAAAACTTACACAATCTGTAAGATAGCATCGCTTTCCATGTGATCCAATGCCATCATCTCCAGCCCCGTATGCATTATACGTCTATTGCATACAAAACAAAACCATACACATGGTTGGCGTTAGTACCAAGCGCAAAATAATACATTTAGTAGATTCAGTAATTAGATTAACAATGTTCATAATGTAATTTAAGTGTTGGCCACAGAATTTTTACTCACATTGTCTGCAATTTCTTGAATCCTGAGCCCAGAAACACGCCCTCCGGTAATGTCTTCAGTGCCGGCGCGGCCTTTATATATCTGTTACATAATATTTATTTACAGTACATTAATATATTGTAATATATGATGTTTAATGCATATCTTGAGGGGTGTATAAGAGTAATGCAATTCACATGAAAATGTAATCAAATTAATGGCAATAATAGGCCATAGAATAGGCAGGATAAATAAATACCATGCTAATAAATCAATTGATTGACATTATTTGTTTGTATAATGACAAGCCTTTGCAGATAATATTTCCCTAATAGTAGTTGTTATACCCTTTTTACTGACAATATCGGTAAGATTTAGACATATTATGCGTTCAATATTCTTATAATTAATATATTTACTACATGTCTATCGCTGGCATCTATGCCATGGTTTCCGTTCCCATTGTGTATCATTTTGTGAAACTTATTTTCAATACAAGTATATAATGGATGTAATTTAGGGTATTGTTTGGGCCTTAATTATTATTGATATATTGATGTTTATATATTATTTTACATAGACATTGATAGCATGGATAGAGTTTAATATATACACATTTATACGGCATATAACCATAGAAATGATTGGGGAGTAAGAAAAAGAGTTTCACAGTAAGTATAGCATGTAATCAGATATTCTTGATGTGCGGCCTCTTATCTAAGGGCTCGGCATTTGTTTCTGAAAGAGAGAGAGAGAGAGAGAGAGAGAGAGAGAGAGAGATCGAAAAAGCAAAGACAATATGTCTATTTTCCTTTGCACTCTCATTCACAGAATAGTAATAGAAAATAATGTTTGCGAGCAATGAATGAATGAAATGAATTGAATTCTTGGCATTACTTACACGGATCTCAAACGACCCAAAGGAGAGAAAACGCCCGCTTTTATCAGATGAAGACTTTCCATCGATTCCATGTGTCTGACCATTGATATAGTGATGTCAATACAGAGGGATGTGTTGGCAACCAATGAGTTTTGTGGACGAGTATAAATTAAGACATAAACATAATTATTGTTACATTGATTTGATGTCTCAATCATTACATACATGTAATGTAGACTCTGAACATGTGTACGGCATATAAATTGTATTAATTTACTTACAAATCCATTAATTCCCTGTAATTCACAAATGAATCTGGCTCCAATACTTCGATTCCTACTTGTATTAATGATCTGCAAGTTAATAAAATAAATTTAACTTGATCAATTAATTGTTTATGACTAAAGTTATGGTTTAAGACTAATTTGTTGTAATTCAAGCAAAATAACATTATCTAAATTCTAATAATATAACTTGTGGTTATAAATTACAAACATTTATGAGTTTTATAGTTTTAATATTTTTTAATTATACAAAAACATTTAGGATAAACATAAATAAAATAAATAAATAAAACTTGTATTATGGTTTGAAAAGCTTTTTGTGTAAAAATCTACAACATTTATAACACATAAATTACAATAATTTATATAATTATTATGTTAATTATTAATTTCATTTTGTATATTTATGAATTAAAAGTACAGTATATTTCATATTAATTAGAGTGTTTGTTGTTGGAAAATATTGTAATTAATTATTTAAATGTTTAATATTTATTGTTTAATATAATTACTTTTTATTAAAAATGCATTCAATATAACATTTATTATTGATATGAAACGCATTTTCAAAACTTTTAAGTAAATATTAACCATTAATCGCATAGTTTTAATCCAAACATACTTTTAAAATGAAATTTCACATTAAATTCAAATACTGTTGAAACTTATATTACTTTTGTATAACTTTATATAATAACATATAAGAGGAATGGCTTATTATGTGTCCACTAATTCATCATTGCGTTTGAAATCATAATTTTGTGGGCAATAATTGTCGTCCGTTTAATCGCATTACTTGTGATTCGCATAAGACCTTATATAAACGTCATTCACTTGTCATCAGCTGAGAGATCAGAGAGAGAGAGAGAGAGAGAGAGAGAGAGAGAGAGAGAGAG